TTAATTTTCAATTCATGATTACAAAAAAAAGTTAACATTTTCCAAGTATTTATATGTTATAATTTCAAGAATAGGCTTGTTTTTAAATATTTGTATGGCTTATAAATTCATAAAGAGCATTAAAAAATAACCAAAATTAAGTGTTCCTTTACTGGGTGTTCATTCACTATTAAGAGCTATTCCTTCACTTGGTCTTCTTACTACTTGTTATTTGAACCTCCAAAACTTTAAAACAATATTATGTAAGTTTTCTACAATTTTGTTACATAATTTGCAATTAATAACAAATATGTTGACACTGTTATTTAACTGAAATTACGAATTTTGAAATTAATATGATTTTTTAAAAGGCAAGCGAAGCTTAAGTGTTTCTTCACTGGTTAGTTTACCCCACAATGAAATATTTTAAACGAGCATCAAAATAAAATCTTGCAAAATTTTTGAATAAAAAAGTTTGTCCAGTTGTCCAGAATTTGTCCAGTTGTAAGAAATTGTAAAGTCGTTTTATAATTAATTAATTTTTCATTATCTTTTCTGATTTAAAAAACAGAATAATATTGATATAGTACTTACCAATAATTATGTGAAATGTTTCATTTCGAAGATCAAATATATTATTTTGTTTGTTTAAAGTCTAGAAGAAAACATTAAAAAAAAATGTCAAGTTTAGGGAAGCTTGTTTCCTAAATAATTTCTGATTTCATGACACTTTCACTTAAAAAAAATAACAAAAATATTTAAAAGAGAAATAAAATGAAATACTTTAAATGTAAAAAATTTATGTTTAAAACCGTGGGAAAGCTCTTTTTTTACTTATTTTTATTCATACATTCGAGTTAAAAAAATAATATTTGATATCCGGAAAGCATTTTTTCGAAGTATAATTGCATAATCGCGTAAGTATATAAATAAGCTGCGAACATTTGTTTGAATCATTTTCAATCAAACCTTTGAAGGTGAAGTTCATATTTAAATATTGTTCTTTAGTGAACTTCTTGGGATAGTAAATATCGATATGGAATATTTTCGCTGCGAATTTATTCGAAAGTTTTGTTCAGAGGTAAGTACTTATTCTTGAAAATTTCTTTCTTAGTTTAGTTTCTCTTCTTTTATTTTTATCCTCGTAATGCATTTATTTATATGTATAGTAATTTGAATAAGGCAAAATTATCGATCGCTACTAAATATTAGTTAGGACAATTAAAGACTTTTTTGCCCACTCGACAACCGATCGACGCACTGTTTGTCAAAATTGCTCCCCGTGTATATTTTGTTATTATTAAATATTGACTTATTATTAATATTTTCTAATATTCTGGAAAAAAAATTTATTTCACGCCTGTGTTACTCTCACAAATTTTACCCTACACATCACTTTTGAAATCATGCATTTTGCACAAAAAAGAGTATATACTGTTTCAAGTTCAGAGCCATTTGATAAAATTTGAACTTAGAATTTGTATTTAAATAAAAACTTAGATAAAATTAACTTAGATAAAATTTGAACCTTTAGTACTAGCGCATGTCTAATACATTAGAATAAACATCTCAAATGTTTTTGGTAGTAAAATAGTGCATTGTTAAACTAAAAAAGAATGCATTGCTCCTTGTGCACGGTGTGCGAAAAAAAAAAGGAAACACTCTGAATAAATTTTGAACTAGCCTGGGCGGGATTAAGCATACGCGGGGCCCAAGGCCATTCAAATTTTTGGGGCCCTAAGATTAAATTTTTTTTCTCGTATATTTTTTATTTATTCAAATAAAGTATTTATATATCTTTTCATTTAAGAAAACATATTTAAAATAAAAATAAATAATAATAAATTAAATTTTACTTTATTTTGTTAAATTAGAACTAAAAAATAATCATAAAATTCGGAAAAAATTTATGTAAACATGTAAAGAAACTATGTAAAACATAATGTTATAATTATGTAATACATTATGTAAAAAAATTATTAATATATTTTTTATTAATATATATTTGAAATTGATTTTTTTTTAAAAAAATCATTGTTTTTCTTAATTTTTTTAAATTCATCTCCAAAAAAATTCATAAGGGGCCCCTAATCATTGGGGGCCCCAGGCCATGGCCTAGTCTGGCCTATTGGGTAATCCGGCCCTGGAACTAGCCATCGGACCTTCAAGCGCTAGTGTTGATGATCCGAAATTTTGATGGTTTAAGAGAGCGATCTAAAAAAATATGTTTATTAATTAGCGCAAAATATGTAAAAAAAAATATGTAAAACATAATGTTATAATTATGTAATTCATTATGTAAAGAAAATATCGTTTTTTATTAATATATATTTGAAATTGATTTTTTTTTTAAAAAAATCATTGTTTTTCCTTATTTTTTTAAATTTATTTCCGAAAAAAATGCATTAAGGGGCCCCTAATCATTGGGGGCCCCAGGCCATGGACTAGTCTGGCCTATTGGGTAATCCGGCCCTGGAACTAGCCATCGGATCTTCAAGAGCTAGGGTTGATGATCCAAAATTTCGATGGTTTAAAAGAGCGATCTAAAAAATATGCTAATTAATTAGCGCAAATGATATTTTAAGGTGTGAAGTTAGGCATAAAAATGCAATTTGTATGAATAAACATTTTTTTTTTTACTCATTTTGATTCTTGCCCCTTAAAATATAAGTCCCAATACTTTGATCAGAAAGCAGTCTAAAGTTTGAATCCTTTCATATTAATTGTACTTTTTGCGCACTTCGCCAAATCTCTAGGAGAACTTTTTAAGTAAATTTTAAAAGTTTCTACGCAAGTATAAAACTCTTTTATCCAAAGATAATTCCATGCTTAAAAGAATTTTTAATTACAATTTATTATTATTCTATTTAAAAATAGTCGAAAAAATTTTGAATTTTGAGGTATACAATTTTTTACATTATTTTAAAGATTGTACATTTACAAGGCAAAACAGAAAGTTTGAACAAAAACGGTTAGATTGTTAATTTTTAATCAAATTTTAAATACACAACTTTTAATATTTTAATATCATTTTAATATGTTGCTTTTAATATTTTAATATACTTTTATATGCAACTTTTAATTTTAAGTATTGTCAACTCACTCAGACACTATTTAACAGATTACAATGTTATTTTATATTTTGCTAAATTTATAATAACGTTCACGTAAATTTTAAAACAACAATGCAATACAAAATTTCTCCTAACATTCTAAAAAATGTTCATCTATTTTTATATGAAATAATAAAGAATAATAAAAAATTGTAAATAATTATTAAAAATTATATTTTGCTCTTGAATTATCACCTAACAAAAATATTTTCTTGGGATAGGGTGAAATACGTAAAAATGAAATTCACATAAAGGGGTGTTATTTTTCGACCAAACAGTGACAATCCCCATACTTTGATAGTTAGCAATCTAAATCCAGCAAAAAAAAGTATGCATCTTCAGAGATGTCTAATTTCATAGTTTGAAAATAATCCGCTGCAGCTAATTTTTATTTTATAACCATCGTTGAGCAGCCTACCCAGTTTCGAGTTTATGACCTAAATGTTGAACTCGGTAGCCTTGTAGTTTTAAACGCAATCCAGAAGGTAAGGGACTCCTGGATCAAGTATTGGTCGAAATTTGCCTCCGTGGAGGACTTTTTGATGAAACCAACTTGCATTTACGTTTGATGGAGCTGAGAACCACGAAAACCTTCCACAGTTAACCAGACGGCATGGGGACTCTAACCCTTGATTTGTCTACCACTGAGGATGTTTTACTTCAGTACTGTGGTCGGTGCAAGCCGAATGCGGAATTCACAACGATCAGCCATCGCTGGGATTCGAATCCGGGTTCACCACATTGGAAGGCGAACGCTCTATCCCCTGTTCCATCACGACTAGCACTAGCTAATTAACATATTTAAGTTAGACATTTGAACCACAAAAGTTATAAAAGTTAAAGTTAGGTTAGGCAAAAGTTAAAAGGTAAAGTTAGGCATTTGAACCACTAATCATTTAGATTGAGTCTTACTGTATTTACGTACTGTATTTGAGTACTATATTTACTTCGCACTAAAGCTGCTCAATGGGCTATTGTCGATGGTCAGGGAAAAATACTTGAGGATGACCCGAAGAAAACATACATACGTCACACCCCGTTTTCCAGGGTGGACACATTCACACACTAATCATCCATCCGCAGATCGTACTTTTGACCTGACCCAAAACACAATCAATCTTCGATCTAGTACCCCCAGAGGTACTGATTTGTTAAGGAAACTTGGAGGATCCCTGACAGGTTTAGCAAGCACCAATCACCATTTTGTACACAGGGAGTCTTCAGCCGATGGGAATCAAACTCAAGACCTCTCGAACATTGGCCCAACGCCCTATCAGCCATGCTATCCCGGCCACCGAGTCTTAGAACGTAAGCATCTGATCGTTATATAAAAATCTATTCAGGATTTTTAGAATCGTACATACCAAATATTATTAAACTTTGGTTAATATTTATATTGTTTGTCGACTAGATCTGAAAATACTCCAATTTTTGACCATATCTATTTAGAACCATTCAATAAATCAAAAAATATACCATTGAGAATTGAGTACAGAGATTACAGACTTAGAGAGGAAGTAGGACACACCATAAGGTTTGAAAAATGTACACCAATCCATGTCCGAAAATATCACCAAACGCCTTTAGGGGCGCATCCCTATTATGAGCTTCACAAGCTCGCCAAGTTGGTCACCAAATCAGTCAATCGCGATATGACAACTATTTCTGTGCAAGTTTAAATGCAACTTTTGGCTATAATAAATATAAAACTTATATACAAATATAAAAATGATTTGATTTAGATAAGTACCAGTTTAAAGATTCTCGAGTCCATAAAAGAAAAATGCCCCCGAAAGGAGTATTTTGTCATTTTTGAAACATGGATTGCCTGGCAAATTCTCACTCCTCCTGATGTGCTCTGTTTCAAATTTATAACCACTATAATGAGTTGCCCTGTAAAAACTATGTCTTTTATTTTCAGATTCATAATAATGGAAGAGTTAAGAAAGAAATCTTAAGTCCGTTGGTCTTATTTCTGGGAATGCTTGGTGTTTTTGCATTCCTCCTTTATTTGGCTTCTTCGAAAGTTTTGGATATCTACTTTGAAACTTCACTTATCGTTCTTTACATTCCAGCTTTTCTCGTCCTCTATTATTCAGGAGTGGGATTACATATGGTAAGAAGTGTTTCGAACAACAAAAAGATTTTTGTTTTATTGAGGTGAAAGAAAATATATTATTCTAGGTGCTCCACAATCATCACCCTTCACGTATTTTTATAATCCTTGTCAAAAATAATGTCATACACATTAGGAGCAACAAGTTATTATTTAAGTGCAGAAAAAAACATTGTAATACAGTCGTCCCACTTAATCGCATATCGGATAATCGAATAACCCGTTTATACGAATAAAATTTAAAGGAACCAAATCATTTAATATCAAACTAATGTTAAACTTCCTCGTTTAAACGGTTATTTGTTGTTTTTTTGCCCCCGCCTAATTGCGTAAAGAAGAGGTACTGAAATGAAAAAATTTTTGATTTTTGAGAAATGTTTGGCCAGCCAAAATGGAATTTCCCTTTTTCAGTTAAGATAAGGATACAATAGGTGGTCATTTCAATAGGGACTTCTTATTCATTAGTAGGTGTTTGGGGTAAAGTTGAAAAATTAATAAAATCTTGCTGCATTGAAGTAAACGAAGGGGGTTTTACCCCTCTTTCATTTTCTTCACTCATTTCGATGAGATAAAAAAGGGATAGAGTGATTTGTCTTGTGGTCAAGACTTGTGGTCCCCTCCGGATGCACTATTAGCTTTGATAAGAAAAAGTTTCAGTGTCTTTCTCTTAAATAGAATAATTGTTTAATCCAGTGAATAAGTTTGAGTTGGTTGAATGTTGAGAGCAAAAAGGAATGATTTAAATTAATCGGGGAAAAACAAAACAATGAATCTTATAAAAAATAAATTTTAAAAAAAATCCTTAACAGAAATAGCGTATTAATTTAGAATTTCACAAGTTTCGAAGATTAAAAAAAAATAAATAAGTAAAAAAAATTCTGAATGTTTTAAAAAGAATACGCACAAAAGTCATGAAAATTTTAATAGAAAGTGAATATTTACTTTTGATAAATTGACGAATTAAACGGGTATAAAAAACAGGCTTCAACTATAGATTTTTCTGGAAGGGATCAAATAATATTTTTGTCCCTACATTATACTTTCACTAACACTGATTTATTTTTTTGTAACTTTAAATGACTTTAATATTTAATGATACTAACGCAGACGGTTTTAATTATAATTGTTTATTGATCATAAAACTAAGTTTATTTAATCAAAACGTTATACAATACATTTAAATACCATTAAAAAGTATAATTTCGCAAAAATTCAGAATTTAAGATTGAATATTGCACTCCCCTTTAAATCGAATAACCCGCTTAACCCGATTTGGCTGGAATTGATGTCATTCCTTTAAGCGGGGTTGACTGTATATCAAATTACTTTATAGAAAAACACGCTTTCAAACATCAAAACCTATTTTATTAATTCGAGATAACAGATAGTGGGAGAAAGGTGATTAATATTAGAATCAGGCAATCAAGCAAATTTTGATGTTGTCAATGCATAACTTTAAGTGATTCATTAGCTTTAGATAACGGTTTTATTTTATTTTCCTCGCATAAATATTTTCCTCGCATCTGTGACCTCTAAAGCATATTCTTAGCGATCTTTAATTTTACAAGGATTCTCAAAGTATGTATTATGAGTTCAAATTGCGAAACCCTTCATATATTATCACCAGAATCCACTGAAACAGCAACACATAATCGAATTAGGAACACTATGGTATTTTACCACCAGCTGGCAGAAACTGCCCCTACACTGACATGGAATATTTCTTCATTTTTAATTCGAAATCGTTAAAAAAAATTTTGTTCCGCCAACATTATAATTAAAAGGTCGTGAGTATAATAAAGCATCAAATTTTAAAATTGCATAAAAGTACCAGTTTGAGTGTTAAATTAAAATTAAAGTACAATCAAAAACTTACATGAAGCCTTCTTCGTATAGAGCCTCGTTGTCTTCTTTTTCTTTACCATGTCATTAAAATAATGCATCAAAGGTAAAAAATGCATTTAAAATTATAATTTGATTCCAGTGGGTATTTAACTTGGTTCTCAGTTTAGTTAGTTAGATAAATAACTTAGTTTTGATCATTCAAAAAAAAAAAAAAAATCAAGTCGTAAAGCTGAAATAAACTGACCAAAGAGACTTACATTTCGCAAAAAGAGTGAATGAAATATATCATGACCGTACATTCCTCCTTTTATAGCAATCTTCATTTTATTGTGTTCTTAATGTTTTGTGTGTTGCTGTTTTAATTGATTTTTTGATAATTATAACTTAATTTACATTTTTTCTTCAAATATTTAATTTCAGTTATAGCATCAGCAAATTGATGGTTAAGTTGCACAAAAAAAATTATAATTTTAATGGTATTTTTTATTAATTTAATATAAAAATATGTAAAAAAAATTTAAAATTTGCACTTATTTGCAGCAATTTCGATCTAAGAGAAACATTTATTCATCATTGAAATTTTTTTAATTCAAAAAATCAATTAAATGATTTCTTAAATATGAATTTAAAAAAATTAGGATTTTTTATAATATTAAGAAATATGATTAATATAATCTAAAAAAAAATTAAGTTGCTATTAAACTGTTTCTTACAATTAAAATTTATCAAAATATATTTTTACTTGTAATTAGAGAGTCAGAAAAAAATATATAAAAGGGACACCTGTGTCCCTTCTGCGTCAAAAGGTCAAATATTTAAGAAAAAGTCCTATAATTTTGACGTAGCCACTTTAAATATTTAGGAAAAAGTCGTAAATTTCTAGTATATTTTCCTGCCACTTTAAATATTTAAAGGGAAAGCCGGAAATTTTTTTCTGCCACTTTGAATATTTAGTAAGAAGTCATTGATTTCAGCTCTCTCTAATGTAAAAAAATTTCAATTTTCAGCTGTGTAAAGAATTGCAACCTATTGCACGTAAAGTCAAAAGTGAAATGATATCATCACGTGCAATAAGCTTTTATCATCAAAATTTACTTCTTGGAAGTCAACTTCATCAGCCACAACTTTCTGCAAATGTATCACCAATAAATGATAGTGTAACACCAGAAGAAACTGCAGTAATTAACATTTTACCTCCTTTCCAGTCCATTGACAACCCCCCACCTTATGAAAAGTGTACTAGAAATGTTCTGCCCAACGGATCAAGTTTTTATTCTTTACCAACGTATGAATCTGCAACAACTGATGAATCTGTTCGTGAGTCATCAGTTGAACCTTTAGGATCAGTTGTACCAGTTATGAATATTATAGAAGGTAATGCAGAGGATTATAATAATAATAACTCATATCAATGAAAAGAAATTGTAAACAATTCTTCAAATTGCAGCAGAAACTCGAGACTGCAAAGTATTAATGTTGGGTTTAAAGGCTAGGGTTAATATAAAGTAAAAAAATTTAGTTTGTTAGAATGCAATGATTATATTTATATTAGTTACATTGCAAGATAATATTTAGATTTTTCAAAAGATAAAATTTATGCTAAGATCTTTTAGGTTGGAAAACTTGTATTTTGACTTTTTACTTTGCAAAAATTTTATTTAATATTTTTAAAATCTAAAGATTATTTGAGTTGACACATCGTAAAAACAAAATATGTTTAATAACAAAGGCTATATTTAGAGTTTTGAACAATACAGAGCATTATTTTTGAAGATTACCTTATGTGGATTTTATATCTTGTATCCACTTTATATATCTATATACCCGTTAATAAAACTTATTCATAAAATAAATTGCCTTTATTTTTATGCATTCACAAACATTAAACATTCACAAACAGTTCAGTGGAAATGCTTCCGTTGTTCAGTTTTAAAGATAAATCACTTTCCTAACACAATAAATCAAGCAATAAATTACCCTTTTCTATAATAACCGTCTAAATAGACCATCAAATTGCCGTACGTAATAAGTGGTCAACTGCTCATTTGTATTTGAAGTTTAACTTGGAATGGATTTTGCTTTTCAGCAAAATGTGTATTTTTACCAAATCTTATTAGATTATCTATTTGCAATTTAACTTGGAATAGATTTTGCTTTTCAGGAAAATTTGTATTTTTATAGAATCTTTTTAAATTATCTGTTAGCAGTTTTAACTTGGAATAGATTTTGCTTTTCAGCAAAATCTGAATTTTTACAGAATCTTTTTGCAGCTTTTTTCCCACTGATAGTAAAAAAGCAGAGTAAAAATTTCTCCAACATTTTTAATTTCACCAATATTTTAAAGTATTTTGTGTTTATAAAGTCCTTTATTCATACATTTTAACTATTTATAAGTCGTGATGCTCAAAATCAAAATATAACGGATTCATAAGTGTTCGATTTGGTGGAAATGCTGCCAATTTCAATTGCACAGTAGTACACACCTCATGCTTATTTTTTAGGTACTACTCATTGATGAACAATTCGTAGAGCTAAACAATTATGTGGTTCACTGTAGGTACATTTTGACCGTCAAATTCCAGGAAAAGATTTTTTCGAAGAACTTTGACCTTCCGTACTAAAGTCCACTAAAAGTATTTATTTCTTAATAGTTAGTGCAAACGCAGTCGAACATACATTAACGATCAGTGGCGTGATTTACTCATTTCGCAAAAAATAATGCCACTTGGCAAGTGATGTGTTTTTCAAAATTGCAGAGGGCCTGCAGTTCTTGCACCATAAAACTTCGATAAAAAGCTTTCTTTCGCAAAAATAAAAAATTAAATAAAAAATACTAAAAAAATACATGCGTCTAATAGTTTAAGATAAAAAACATATTTTGAAAATTTCTACAAAATCAAAAAATATCAAGTACCCAACCTTGCCTGTTTCTTATATAATGAGTTTAAAATTAAGATTTATTTCAATACTTGAAACCACTACTTACAAAATTCCTGAAAATTCTCAGGTTTTAAGATTAATATAAAAATACAAAGTAAATTTACATAAATTTAATATAAATATAATACATGAATAGACATTTAAAATTAATATAAGAAATATAAATATCAAATATAAAAAAGCCAGCTTTTTAAAAAAAATAAAATTGCAGGGTTTTCTGTCACGTAATAATAGTTTTAAATTCTTGTCAAAAATGAAGTCACAGATTAAGATTTGCAAATGGATATGTAAGTAGGAAAAAAAGAGTTATCAAATTCTGATAAATCTTGGGAAGCTGAAATAGCATACTTCAAAGCTAGTTTGATCATCTAACAACACTTGGGAGTTTCTGATAGTCGCTTTTTTTCCTCTCAGTTACCTCATTATACATGGCAAAACTTTTACTATCGTTACTAAAAACGAAAGTAAAAGTAAAAAATACGTACTTTTACTTGGCTTCGCTACTTTTTAAATTTTGTAATTTTAATTGTTTTTTCATTACTTTTTTGCGAAAAAGTACAAGTACTTGTAGCGATAATGTCAGAAGATATCGTTATTTTTTCCAAATTTGTTTTTAAAATGTTCTCCTCAAAAAAATTGTGGAAAAAAAAATAGAAATCATTGTTAATTTTGTTCTGAATTTTTATTTTTAGGAGAAAACTTATGATTTGTAATGAAATTTGATTTTATTGTTCACTCTTTTCACAACTTTTTTTTTACATTTGACCACAACGGTGATGCAAAGAGGTCGAAGGTCACAGCATGACCGCTTGTAAGTTCATAGAAACTAACAACCACCCCTCTTGCTTGATCAGTTTTGTTTCAATCGAAAACAAAATGTTGTGAGAAAAAAATTTAGTAATTTATAATTAAAAAAGTTCTGGTAAAACTTACTTAAGACAATATAATTCAATTTTTAAATTTAAAGTATTGAATTTTTTAATAGATGGTTAAAGTTATTGGTCAAGAAGAAATTAAAAATTTCCAGCTTCTAATTTTTAACTTAACACGTTCACGCCGGGATGACCCACCGATGGCTCACGCTAGATAGTCTCATCGGGCGGCGCACCGGAGTAAAAACTGGTAACAAATAAATTTCATTTTTTAGTTTTTTTCCGGTAATAATAAAAATCCATAACTACTCATTGTTTTTAACGGATGCAATTTTTATATTGAATTGCTTCTCCGCCGCGATAAATTTCCTTACAGTGAATTGTCATTGTTGAGAATATTATATCTCCTCCCGAATATTATCTAATATTGAAATAGTTCTTCTACCAGTATTTTCTCTTTTCCGTCTCGCTTTCAGGCACAACAACCGGCGTGAACGTGTTAAAGATGAAGGAAAATAACTTTACAAATAAACAACTTATTTAAAGGAAAAGAACTATTATCTTTAAAATAATCGAGATCTACTTTGCTTTCAGACTAAATGCTGGAAAAAATATTCACTTAAAAAATTTTAATATTTTTAAAAGCTTATATTAGTCTAATGTTTATGATCGTCATTAAAAATGTCAAGCCGCAAAATGACCATCTTTCTTATATTTTCCTACTAATTTGTATAGATAATCAGTTGGCTAAACACTACTCTGTATATGAGATTCGGCGGCTTGCTTCCACAAACGCTCCTATTCTTCATGAAAATATTCCTTAGTAGCCCAGCGTCTAGGGACAACACCTCCTAGAAAAGAGTAGGCCTCTGCACGGGTTACCATAAATATCCTTTAGTAGTCCAAACGTAATGACATTCGCCGTATTTTCAACCACTGCGCAGCTTAGTACCCCGAACGTAATGACATCTTTCTTATTTTTCATCAACTGCGCAGTTAACTTCGTCACATCGGACTACTAAATTGATCCGTGCTGAGGCCTTCATACTTCTAGGAGGTGTTGCTAGGGATCGATCACTTTCTTTTAGTTGCGAACGTTTTATTCTCTTGGAAAATAGTTTTGATTGAGTAACATATTCAAGTCATCTTTGATGCTTTATTGGTGATTTACAGTTTTTGATTATTGCTACACCCATTAAAAAAAAAAAAAAACGACAGTTGTTTCCCTTTTTATGCACAAAGCTCTTGGCCAATCAGTTACGTTTGGTTTGAGATAAAGAATGGGAGTAGAGTACTTTGCAGACTTAATAGTTTTTTTTTCTTTTTTTAAATGTAATATATTATAAAATCTTGTTGTTTTCGATTTGAATATTTAATTTAGGTTTGACAAGCAATATTGTTTGCCAACCATGTTGGACATAGAAGTTTTCTTTAATAATTTTCAATTTATTTGCCGTTACTATATAAACCAAGCATTTTTTGCTCAAGATTTAAATTTTTTGGCACTTAAGTTTTAAATATAAAAATTATGCTATTTTTAATTGATAAGTCGTATGCATAAAAAAATTCTAGATTTATATATTTTGCATAAAAAAAATTTTTGTTCGGATTTTATCATATAGACATTTAGTTCATATCATTAAATTTAACAATACTTTTGTACTCAATTTTCAATTAAGAGTGCATTCAATATGACATATCTATATCTGAAATTAAAAATTTATTTAAAAAAATTTTTTTTAACGTTTGTGAAAACGAAATATAATTGAATGAATTTCGAGGATTTGCCTGTATATGAATACAAATGTCAATTTATTTACTCATTTCTTTAAACAAAGGTGATGGTGTCTATCAAATTTAATCGAAAGTTTAATTTATTACTATTTTTTTGAAAGTAAAAATTAAAGTTCTAAACATTTAGTAAAAATTAACACAAATTAAAACTGTTTCATATGCAAACATTGAGTTTCGATTTGGTTGCTGGATATTTTCAACGTTCATTATTTCAATGAATTTTATAAGATTTTCATGCATTTCAAAAAATTTTAAATTTAAAACATATAAATTCCAAATTTTTGCCTTTTCTCCCATTTCTTATTGAAATTTTAAGTTACTTTGAATTTTCGAGTTTCTTGAAATATACTTTAAAATCGTTACCTTTTTTTGTTTTGTACTAGTACTTACTCGTTACTTTTTAAAAGCAACGTTCCCATATATGACTCGGGTAATAAAGCCGGTTTTAAAGTTTTAAGCTTGCCTTACTTGGTGATTTGTCATGTTTTAATTAAAGTTTCTCTAACATCCGGATGGAAAAATTAATCTGACCCAACCTTTCTAAATTGTATTTTTTTACGTCATTACAATAAAGTTTTTGTTGTCTAAGAAAGTATGCATAAAGGGCAATAACTGTGGAACATACTTTATAACAATCTTAACTTATGTGATAGTATATAGTGAATTCAAATCCCAAAACTTGTGAGAAAACAGTAAAAATTTATTACAACAGACGTACATTTTAAATATATACAATGTAAACATATTAAAATCGATTTTAGCTTTAAATTTTTGTCAAAAATAACAATAAATACATTCCTTATATATAAAATTCAGTCACAAATATCAATTTGATTAAAGAACAAACAGATAATTTAGTCAGAATTATTTAGAAAATATCTATATTTAATTCCAAAGATGAGCAAGATACACTTCATTAAAGCACAATGTATGCCTATCACAGCAAAGATGCAGAACACACACAATAAATACTTTGTATATATTTTTTATATTTAAGCAAACCTATGAAAAATATTTTTTCCCAATGAAAAATGATATTCTTCAAATAAGTTAGGAGTAACAAATATAGAATATTCTATTTTACAAGCGAATAATTCAAAAAATAATAATAACCAACAATTAAAACTATGAAGAAACAACTAATTTCAAGACAATTATTAAAATAATAGTTTGAAATTTCTAACCAATTCAGTGAAATTTGTGATAAAATAAGAATAAAAGCATAAATACAAAAAATAATAAAAGGAGTAATTTTATTCAAATTTAAGTCGTAAAAAGCACGGTTAGCAGAGTATTAAATAACCACACATGCATTGTGCCATGCATATAAATATAGAAATTTCAACAGCAAGTAGTGTAAATAATTTTCTCTTTAAAAGATCTTAAAAAAAGATATTGTCTTTACAAATCTTCTAAATTTATAGTTTATTTGATTAAAATAAGCAAATTCTCAAAGGAAAAAATTGTTTGCAGCAATTAATATAGTTATTGAATAAATGTAATATTTTTACAGTGGATAAAATGCTCAACTTATAATTGCAAAATTTTAGAAACATCTAATGAGTAAACAATTGAAAATATTTAAAGAGAATTAACAATATGAAAGTGAAAAGCTAAAAAGAAAAAGATTAGCAAAAGGTTAAATAAGTCAATAAAGGGATTAAGACCATATTAAACAAGACGATCTAGCCATAAAGTATAAAAAAGAATTACACATTAAACTAAGCTCATTTCTCCCACAGTTTTTAAAATATTACTTTTGTCTTAAAAAAATATGGTATATTTTCAATGAAATTTTAATGTCTGGAAACAATGCATAAAAGTAAAAGAAACTAATATGAGTTTATAAGTTACTTTTAACAATCAGCAATTTGAAGCAATTCCATGAAATTAAAAAGGGGAAGGTGGCAGAACATTTTTTAAAAGTTTGTTATTAATCACGAAGAGCTGATAATTTCTTTTTAAGAAAATAAGAAACAATATACTATTCTTGATAATTAATTAAAATTAAAAGTCATTGAAACAGAGAGTAAATTTAAACACTTTGTAAATACAGCAACAAGTGAATGAAGATAAAATCAGACTTATTTAGCGCACAAGAACACAAATAGCTTTACATCATTTTAAAAAGTCTAAATGTATTTGCTTTAACTTCATAGCACTTCAGCTGTAGTACAAGTAAAAAAGATTTAGAATTATAACAAAGACAAGAAATAGCCATAAAATAAACTTATAAGATAAAGAAACAAATGGTGAAAAACAAACTAAGGTTAAAATTCACTCAAGAGCAACACAAACTATCCGATTGATATCTAATGATTGATATGGAGAACGTTGTTGACTAGATCTGAAATAACCTTAAAACTGTAAATGTTACATGAAAGACGTGGGCAAGAATCTAACAATACAATTGATTAACTCAATTTTCCATACAGAGACTGCTCACAAATCATAATATGTAAAATGAATGAATTATTGTTGCTTCATTGAAATGCTAAAGCAATCCTATTAAAAATTTTACAAATCAAGTAATGTTTGCAGATAAATATCAACATTTTTTTTAATTATATAAGAGAGATAAGTCAATCGAATTCTATCAAACATTAAATTACCAAAACTTAAAAATAAAAACCAACAGTAAATTATCTTAAATAGTCAACATTATAGAGATAGAGATATAATGAAAAAGCATATATTCAAATCTTTTTAATAATGAATCTGAAATAAATTACAGAACCAAAAGTACAATTCAAAATAATTACAAATTTTAAAAAGAAATGTTGCCAGCAACAGTATATTTAACAAAATAAAATGGAAATATGAATATAAATGAAAAATTTTGGAGAAAATTGCTCAATATTAAACTTTAGTATCTTTTAAATGCAAATTGCTTGTGAAGATTATGAATTAAACTGCATTTATAGGCATGTTTTTTCCAGAACTGTAATATCCATTAAAAATATATCAACCTTTGTTTATTCATAAAAATAGGAATATAGAATGATTGTTGAAGCCAAACTAACATAGTTTTAAGCTAGTAATTAAGTTAAAAGAGTTAAGTCCAAAAAAAAAATTATTTACTGATAAGATTATTCCAAAATAATTTTATTTGAAATAGATTCAACTTATTTTATGTTTGCACATTTAAATAGACGATAATTTTAATCATTATTGTAACAATAAATAAAAATACAATTTTATGTCTACCCAAGACGATATTAAAAACGCTCAAAAGGGTAAAAGGTATGTGAACCAATATAATATTGATTTTAAAACAAAGCAAATTTAATAACTAAAGAATTTAAGATGATTGAATTCTGAAGTAACATAGAGTAAACTTCAACATAGCATTAATTCCTTAGTTCTCCTATAATCAAAGAATAGTCAATTGCAAATACATTTAAACCCTTATTTTATTTTTATGTTAACCTTATATATTTGTGACTATCTCAAAAATAATAGAAAATTAGACCAAGAAAAGGAGGAAAAAGAAAAGATTCAAGTAAGCCTTTTCAGCTTGCTTGAAAAATCAAGCAAGCTGAAACCACCAAAAATATATGCGCACATATTTGTATATAAATGTGCCAAGCAAAAATTCAAAAAAAAAAAAAAAAAAAAAAAAAAAAAAAAAAAAAAAAAAAGTTTTTTTTAAAATAAACATTGACGTCAAAACAAATGTGCGAATTGCTAAGAGTTTTTCTTATATTTTAGAATAAACTAAAAACACTTAGCAAAACGAAATGGAAAAATAAATTTTTTGCTTTAAAATAGGTGTAATTCAGGGAAACTTATAAGAATTTAACAACCTACTTAATCTTAAAACTCAGCATTTGTTTCAAGACCATTTTTTTAAAATTATTGCATGAAAATATAAGACTTCTGCAAGTGCACATAAAAACAATTTTCCTATTGCACTCTCACGATAATAAATAAATAAGGTAAAATATAAATTATGAAACATAGCATAACAACACTGGTACATCATGACAAAAATGAAACACCCAGAATTCAACATCTTGAGTTAAATTTATAGGTGAAGATATTTGTTTTTTGTGGTAAAGAAAAAAATATTACTCATAAAATATTATCCAATAGAAAATTGTTCAAACACCAATTACTTAAATAACAATTCCAAGAATAACAAAACCAAGTGAGAATTTAATAAAAATGGAAGACAAATATAAGCAGTATCTTATAACTAACATATATACCACACCCATCATAAGTTTTATAAATTATTATTAAAATCAACAGCTAAAAAAACACAAAGATATTTAGATTATAAATATTTTATATATTAAAATTTTTTTGTAGAATCAAACATTGAAAATTCTGATAAATCTAAAGTCTCTGCAACAAAAATTTAGTTTTTAATTCAAAAACCTGAAGGGGAAAAAAAGTGGAAATATCTTTCTTAAGAAATGATTCTTCATGTTTTTCTTCTAGTTTTTCCAGTTTCATTTCTTTATGGAAATATCTTTCTTAACTAATATGTAAAATTTAGATTAGATACAAACAAAAAGGCATACTTTATTTGTTATTAAAAAGGCATATTAAACATATTTATGCTTTTTAAAAGGCACATTTAACATGTTAATTCTTAAATGATTCATAGATATACTATTTACAAGTTTTGTATATCATATGTATAAGCAATCTTATATTTAAAGTGAACATATGAATTTTAACTTTGAACACAGTGAACAAAACAAAAATTAAATGAGTATTTGTAGCAATGACAGAAATAACAGATATACACCTTTAGAAAAGACTCAATTATATTAATTACTTTATTCTTGCCATATTTACGTTTATATAAATTATATATTTGTGAAAGGAGCATGCGTGCATGTCTGAAAGTGTGTTCAAATTAAAATCACTGATTCTGCTTTAATTATTTAAATTTTTGATTTTATTGTAATGCTTTTCTGTTAGACATTAGGTCCAGATTTAAATTTCAGGTAGATATGAAAAGCTAATAGAATAGTGAGAACAATATCAGATACTTTTTTTTAGTTTTCAGAACAAACAAAAACTTAAATATTGCACAAAAAATTACAAGAATCTCTGTTTAGAAACATAAAATAAGAGATTCTTAAACAAATTCTGGAAATATTAATTAGAAATTAAGACCTAACCATCCACATACCCTACAATTCAAATAAAGATTGCTAATTTAATACTTTAACTTCTCAGAAAATTAAGCAATCATAATATTTCTGCTAGTACTCTTAACAAAGGTCTAAATGCTTAATTGAAAAATATACAAAAAATTTTCAACAACTTTCAGTTTTAAATGTGAAAACTGTGTTTAATTAACTTTTTAAAAATACTCAGCATCTTAAATTTTCAATACATCATTCCAAATTTATAATTGGAGGGATTCTTTAGGCACAGAAGCATATGGGTGGTACAGAAAGCTGCCTCAGTTATGGTATTGTAATGAGAGGAAGAAGGATATTAAAAGGAATAAAAAAAAAGCAGATGTTCTATAATTAAAAAAGGACTAATATGTAAAAATGAATCCATTTATTCACTAATTGCCTGGTAAATCCATTCTTTAGCAATTTATCGTAACTTTTAGTAATGATATTGAATTTTAAAAGAAATAATTCTAAATTTCCACAAATGAGTATTTAATATACATATAATAAACTTATTCCATATAACATAAAAGTTAATTGAATTTCTAATCTTGAATTTTTATTTATTTATTTACTCTTAATCCTATAAATGAGCACCAAATTATCTGTTTCTGAGTATTGACAGCATTTCAGCATCCAGTCACTTAGAAATTAAGATGTTACAATTTCTTAACAACAAAAAAAAATCTAAAATCAGGAATAAATTTTTGGGACAACTTTTTCAGTCACATGTAACAGATCATAAAAGACAATAAGAATTTAATAAATAAGTATGATGCTGATGGTAGTCCAATAGCAATTTAAGGAGATAAAGAAGGCAACTTTTTAAGTAGTACATGCACATTTTCACAAAGATTTGAGCAAGCAATTAAACTAGTGTTAAATAGTGGACTTGATCAATCTCAAGTAATATAATGAGTATGAGCACAGAATTTTAACATAATAGCATAAAGAATAATGTTGAAATTGCTCAATGCCACAAAGCCAAATTAATCAATAGCTCATGGACTTGAAATTCAGGCTCTTTGGGACATACTTACGAAAAAGCAAATGTGGATTATGATTTTTAATAATTCTAGTACCTGCTACAAGAACATTAGATCTTTCAATAAAAACAGAACAAAAATCAAAAAGGATTGATAATGAATAACTGAAAAAAGTTAAGACTTTTAAAAGGTACAAGAAAAAACTGCAAAACAAAGAGACTCAAAAGAAAATCGTGCCAACGGGCGTAACAAATGCTTGTCATAATCTTAAATTATCTCTAATGCAGTTGAGAAAATACCAGAATAGAAAAGAAACATAATGAATAGTTAAATAAGAAATGTCTTGTGATAACAGAGAAGTAGAATGAGACATATGAATTAATGACTCAGAAAAATTACGCTGGAGAATGAAAGAAATCACTCTGAATGAAACTGAAAATCTTTAGTCACAAAAAAAAACAAGAAAATCCATCAATTGGTAAATATCAAAAGAAACCTGTATGAAAAAAGAATACAAAAAATAAAAACTGCACAATTACCAGAGATATGAAAAAAGTTATATTAAAATTATATCAACATTTTAAAATTCTACTTAGGTTAGAGTTGTGGGGGCGGAGTTAACGACCATGCCAACCTTCATCTATCAAAAGGTGCCTCGTGATTGAATCAAGTTAGCATGTCTTAGATACCAGTGAATTGATGTTTAATTTTCGCAGTGGTAGTTACGCCACAGAGTTAACAAAAAAGAAATTGACACACTCATAGTATGTTGCAAACTACAAGTTATACAGATGAAAGAGTAGAAAAGCATTCACCAATTCATTATGATGCTGAATTAGTTAATTAAAAAAGCTTAATCAAAACAAATTAACTGGGCAGATAGTACTAATATTAAATACTGAAATTCATCAATTGCATTGTTTTCATTTATGAAATCTTAAGTTTTCAAAAGATCGAGGTAGACTTGGTCCCGTCCACCTCGAATTATTGAGACTTAACTGTATACATATACCCTAGCAGCAATTTTTCCATAGCCCCAGTTAGGCTCAAAATTAGCTCACTATGGGTCCTATACATGCACCAAAGGACCAATATAGGGGTGTCTAGATTTTTCACTATTGCTCTTATATAGGGGTCAGTAAGAGACTATGTATGGCTAATATAGTTTCGATATTGGCTGAATAAAGAATATTAAATATCAGGTGAATCTGACAATTCTATACAGAACAAATATTGGAAAATAATGGTTCTCTGAAAACTTATTGAGACAAGATTCATGAATGTTAGCCCAATAACAGCTCAAGTTATTTTATCGCTAAGGTATATATATATTAAAGCCACTACATTATGCTCATAGAGAAGAGAGACCGAAAATACACAATAAGTTGCCAGAATTTTGTTCAAACTTGCATTTTTTGGAGAATGTTGCTAGATTTTCATTTTTAAAGAATCATGATGAAAAGAAAAAGAAATATTTCTAATTGTTATAATTACAATTTTGATTTAAGATTCAAATAAACTACACTTTTTTAAATTGAAAATTAAATTTATACAATATTAAACTAAACCTTAAGCTGTTTTCATTCTCCATTGTTGTATCAGTCAGATCTAACAAACTATCACATGACCTGTTCACTGACTTTAAAGCTGCATACAATATAAACGGATAGAAACTACTAGAAGCTATTTTGGAACTTAAACCCTCCAAGAAAATTATAACCCTCAGAAGAATAACTTAAAAATGTTTAAATAAGGTCTGGAAAAGGTTAAAAGAACCTCTGAATTTAACAACTGGTTTTTGCTGGAGATATAGATATCACCAGGAAAACAAAACAGGTTGTCTAAACATTTGTTTTGCGTGAGACAGCAATCTAGACAGGTCTGACTATTAGACATAACTAAATTTAGCTTTAGAAACCAACTTAAATCAAAATTAATTAGCATAAAAACTAAAATAAGCCTATTCAAGACCTGTTTCACTTTAGAACAGTGAATACTGGACACTAAATACAGAAGAGGGCTTAATATTGTTCTTTTAAAGAAAATTCTAAGATCTTTGGAATAATATAACAAAATAAGATAATTTTATATAATCGTGAAATTTAACAAAAATAAGATGCAACAGACTTAGCAAAAGTAGCAACAAAAAATCCCACAAAATGATTAGGCCATAAAGTAGTAAGTAGTATTTTAAAAGCAGCACCCAGCTTTAAATTCAGGTTCTACTGCAATTTGTTTTTCAGCTCAACATAAGAATTGCAAGTGCTACAGTCCCTACAAAAGAACTCTTCCTTAAAGAAAAAGAAAAAAATGTAAAGTAGCCATTTGTTTTGCGGTGCTTTTGAAAAATTAGTTTTAAGAGTTCACTGATTGTATAATACAAGAGACTTTTTTTTTTTAAAGAAATTGGAAAAATTGTACAGTCTTGCTGAAATTTTCTTTCTAAAATATGTTTATTTTTACAGTGGAAAAAGTGGCTTAACCTCTTAATAGATATCTTTACATTATAATTTTTTTTTTTTTAAATTTAAATTATGCTAAGAATGGACATACTGGTTTAGCAAGGGGCAATTACACAAATAAATAAATAAATTTTATAGTAAACTATTATTAAGTCAATTTTTTAACATAATTAAGTTGTCAAAGTTAAAACTCAAGTTTTAAATCTTGCTTCATTATGAATTTATTATAAATCACAACAAAACTAAACACTCACCAACTAAACAAAACTAATGAAACATTAACCAACAAAACTAATGAACCATTAAGTTCATTTGAGATGACTGAAAAACAGCCATTATTAATTTTTTTAAAAAAGAAATACTCATTTATAGTATTTTCAGCCAAAATAAATTATGTTTTCATTGCCAATTAACAGTCAAAAGAAAAACATTTAGAGTATAAGTCTTTTCAGTACAAAACACTTCATTCTATGTATCAAAACACTTGTAATAAAAAACGTTATTTCTGAAAATAAAAACACCTTTCCTACTTGCTTCACCTCTTTGTTTACGACAGTCAAATGAATCTCACATGCGAAACCTGAGAGACATGACAATTCATATTTCTTATTGTCTTGTTATTTTGTACTATACAAAATGAAACAACAAATTTAAAAACATAAGCTCAGAAAAACGACAAAAACAAACGTTTTCAAAGCAGAAGCTACAAAAAATGACATTGAATGAAAACATTTAAATGAGATAATTATGTTTTTTAACATTTAAATGAGACAACAAGCCTATTAGAAATGGTGTCAACTTCAATTCTAAACTTAATAGAAAAAGCTGAATCAAAAGATGTAATAATTAAAAACTTTGCAATAAAATCCTAAACATGTTTAAAATGAAAAAATTTTAAAACAATAAAATTAGAAAAAGTAATAATAAAATGGTCTTATTTTTCAGGATAATAAATATTATTAAATTTATTGTTGAGACACCTTGAGATCTAACAAAGTTGTGTTAAATTAAATGAGGTTCATTAATTACATGCAAGACATGGCATGTTAAGAGTACAAAAATTAAGTAGTTTTCACACCTCAACTTATAGCAAATACTTTATTTATACTAGGTATCTCATATAAGTTTAATGGTTTCAGTCAAAAATTTAATTTAGTTCATAAAGTTTTCAGTCTAAATCAGAGATTTATCGTCTTTTTTTCAATTATAATTTTTCTCAGGACTTTTCTAAAAACAATTTCAACTGTCACCTAAAAATATTTATTGTTTATTTTTTCTAAAAAAATTGTGCTTTTTTTTATGTTTTTAAATATTTGACAAAAAATGTTGACAACTTGCCCCCTTGAATTTTTTTTTTGCCAAATTTTAACGACGAAATTAATCCTTTCAACAACAAAATGGTCAAATTTTCTGACAACATTAGGTGACACAAAATTCATGATATATAAAAGCAGGTTACAAAATTTCACAGTAACAGCGTACTAAAAGAAAGTAACAGGAAGAAAAGAATCTATAGACTTGGATAAGTCTTAAAATAAAGATTTGCTTTTTTGTTAATCAGCCGGACACATGTAAATGCATATAAAAAGAAACAAAATTTGGTATGTGATTTAGTGAAACATAAAAAGGTTTGTGCTATTTTTACAACTGTAGCAATAGCAATTTTAACAACTCATACAAAAATAAATACAGATATGCACAAGCAGAAATAAATAGTGTTGGTAATAAATAATTGTCACTAAATTTACGTCAAAATTTTGTCATCACAACAAGTGTCAAATTCTTAGATTTACTCCTACTACAAAAATATAACACTCTCTACAGAAAATAAATTACATTAGCTTAAGACTACAAGTAATGTATAGGTACAGAAATCACAGAATGTAACATTTCTTGAGTCCAAAGCACTTTATGGCATATTGTAAAAAAGCACCAGATGCATTTTGTTGTTTCATTAGTTTCAGAGATTTGCAATAAATTCAACAAGTTTTTAAGAAAATATATTTTTCACTTAAATATTTTAATTTTTAATAGTATGAATGATTTCTCAATACAACATCAAGGTAGATATTTTGATTGTCGCTATCTGTAAGCTACGAAAAGCAAATGAATACAATATTAAAACAATAATCATTTGGCATAGTAAAGGACCTGATTTTGAATGACTTAAGCAAATTGATAATAAATTTTCAAAATCAACAAGCCAGAACTCGAAAATATAACTATACATGCTAACCAGGATGGTTTTCTGTAGCTAGTTGGCACTCAGTAATATGACTTAATGTTCAAATGAAATAAAACAAGATGAAGCATTAAAAATATGAATTTTCTTAGTAAGTGCCAAGGCACTTACAAAAAATGCAGTCAATTATTGCGCACAGTAAAAAGTTTATATTAAATACTGTATTTAGATTTAAACTTGAACACCAAATTCTGGATCAACAACATATTCAAACCTTTGCTGCCTATTTCCATCCACAGTTTGACTTGGCCTCAATTGTGAGTTCTCTCTTTTTATTTGACTTGTATCTGAACCAACTTCGGCAGGCAATAAAGGTATTGTCATATTAACACGAGTAAAAAAAGCCATTTTTTCCCTGCAGAAAATAGGACAAACAATTAAAAACTTGTAGCTAACTTACATTGTTTTAAATAACTTAATTTTAAAATAAATTTATACAATTTTCAATTAAATATTAAATTTTTATTAAATATAATACACTATTTAAAAATTTAAATAAGCAACATAACAACATAAGCTAAGCAGATTAGGGTTTTCTAAAATAGATTTAATATCTTTTTAGAAAATTTAAGCATTAAACATTTGGTGCATGCTATTCCATTTCTACTCCAAATATCCTTTTAAAAAAATTAGAGATCTGTTTTTAAAATATTTACTAAGCTAATATGAATTGATATTGCATGGTGAAGGGGAAAAAAAAGAAATTGGGCTTAGATTTCAAACAGCTGAAAATTCTGAAACAGCACTGTAGAAATCATGGGAAATAATTTTGTTCTTCTAATTAAAGAAGAATTAATTGGTAAAACTAAAAATTTTCTCTCACCTGAAGGAAGTAACATCTGGTTGCTGTTTACGACTCTTACGTAGCTTATAAATTTCTCTAGAAGTTTTCTTTAACAATTTTTCAATTTTCTTTTCTTCAGAATTGGGTTTTACAATCTGAAACAAAATAAATAACAATGTCTTTCTTAAGAAAAATTAAACAAAAAGCTTTTAAAGACTTAATAAAATTGAATATAAGCAAAGAATATTTCAAACCAATTTCTCACTATACACTTACTTCTAAATGATCCAATGCTCTCTATATATGGTATATATGTTTATAAATATTCTTAAGCCTGAAACAATTCTAAGTACTTATTTTGAAAATATTTTAGCTGGATAATCTATTTTATATATCGCTACAAGATGATATGCCAGTTTATTTACGCAACTATTATTTATATAAGTTTTTGTTTTATTGCTTTATTGTCATTAATGGTATAAACAGGATAGAATGGGCCCCAGATAGCCTGGCTGGTAAGGCATCAAGCCCATGACCAAAAGGTCTCGAGTTCGATCCCTGTCGGCTGAGACTCCTTGTGTACAAAATGGTGACTAGTGCATGACAAATTTGTCTTCCAAGTTCACTTAACAAATCAGTATCTCTGGGGAAACTGAAGTGAAGATTGATCGTGCTCTGATTCAGGTCCAAATTACTATCTGCAGATAGATGGTGCAGGGAATGTGTCCTCCCTGAAAAACGGACTATGACATATGCGTGGGGCAGAAGAGTTCTGGACCATAAATGGCACCACTTGAAACAGAAAGAGCACTCCCTAAAATAAGCTTGTCAGTATTGACAAGTGCAATTTGAATTATTTGAAAAAATTCAACAAAAAAAATAATAAATAAATTAAAAAAAACACTATTTTCAATATCTATTTTCTTGCAATAAGAACAGATGATAAAATTAAATGAGTTATTTAGTTTATAGATTTTGTAATTTTTAATGGGAGAAATTTCTTGAATTGAACAAAGTAATTCCCTTCCCTATTTAACAATATAAGTTTACAAAGAGATGATAGATCAAAAGATTTGAAATAATAATTTAAATTTTAATTATTCATTGAAACATATTTGTTTAAATTTTTCGTCATGTCAAATAATACATGACTGCCTATTGTTCCGAATTATGCAAAAGATTTTATTTCTATATTTAAAGTGGTAGAAAATGGCTTTTAGTTCTTCGATTCATAAGCTTCAACAGGAATGATTTTGACCACCAATATGTATAAAAACAAGCATATACATGCATGATTATTATTCAAGGCCATGATCAAGGTCTGTGTCAAAATATATTCATCTATTATTGTAATTCGGTCATCATTTCACTGACACACATTCTTGTAAATAGTAAATAAAAATATAAACAGGCAGATATGCAAATAAATATTAGAAAATTATCATTGCGTTTTCTAGATTTCAACTTATATGAACTAACCAGTGTTTTCACCACGGAGCGAGAACGGGAGAATCTCACATATTCTTTTCTTTTCATGCAATAAAAAATTATTAATGCGAGAAGTTCGCGCACTCCAGTAATCAATTTCAAAATGCGCGAATTTTGGAAAAAAATCGTCATCTTTTGCCATTTTGAATAAAATCAGTTTCACTTGTCTTCCTTGATCTTTCGTTATTTTGAACATCGGTCCTTGTTATCTTGCTTCCCTATTTACCAGTATCGTTTAGAACCGGTGCGAACAGCAGAACACCACCTCTCCGAACCACGGAACCCCTTTCAGAACACATTTCTCTGCAACCACGTGTTTACCGTAGGTAAGGTTTCTTCTTCAAGACGTTTATATTTTTTGTGCATAAATGTAAAATGGACAAATACCTTGTTAAGGCGACATCTTCTACTCTGTAATGGACAAATGAAAATTAAACAAATGTCGGTAGAAACGGTCAAAACGAAACAAATACGGATATTTTTCAGCCAAATAAATATAATAACTGATGAAAAAGTAGATATAGAACATTTTCCATATGTTGATGCACCAAAAATATTCAATGAGAAGATGTTAACAATGTATTATAATTAAAGAAAAAAAATTTTTCCAAGTCTATTCGTGTTTTTTTAATTTTTAGAAATCTGACTTAACTTTTTGAAATCTCACCCTGTTTTTGAGAAAGGGTGAGAAATTCTCTTCCATTTTTTTTCTGTAATGAAAACACTGTAACCAAAAAAAAATTTATACATAATAAAAAGTAAAGTTGTAAATAATAAAAATATACATACTCCTTTACTAACTCCAGCTAAAGCATACTGCAAGTTTTCATTTTCTGAAATCCATTGTGGAACATCACAATCACCTTGAAAAAATATATAAATTTAATATAAGATGAAAATGTACACTAGTTTTAAAGAATATATGTTAACATAACTCTTTATGTGAAATGAATTTCTCTTTATGTTTATATTTGTGAAATGAAAAAAAAAACCTGTAAAAATAAAATAGCTGTAATTTAAAAATAACTATCTTGGAACTATACTTGGTTTAGCGAAAACAGCTTGCTAAGTTAAAAAAAAAAAATCACTTAGTACAATAACTGATTAATTATTATTAATGTTATGACAAACAGCGCTAATATAACTAGTGAATAATACGGAAAGAATCACTGACTCAGAATGGTGGCAATAAACAGTGAACCCTAATGTTCACTTTCTTTTTCAGTTCTTGCTAAACTAAGTACAAAGCTTTATATAACGCTTTGAAATGATAAATATCTACAAATAAAAATATTAGGTTCCAAAATACTAGAGTATTGATTTTAAATTTTTTAGTTAAAGTGCATATTAAAAATGTTAGTTCAATTGAATGTTAAAAAATTTTTTAATACATTTGCACGCATAATTCTACCAAATTAATCTNTTTTCTTAGAGAGGAATCTCGTCCGAAGGGTCATGATCGCACCAAGACGTCCGTCCGGAAATGGTCAGGCTGAAAGAACAGTCCAGACCGTCAAAGATGCCCTAAGGCGCATTGTGAAGGGAAATTGGAGGAAGAGGCTTGCCAAGTTCCTTCTTCAACAACATTGTACTCCCACCACCACAACAGGTGCTAGTCCTGCGGAACTGTTGATGGGGAGGAAGCTAAGGACCGTCTTAGATAGACTCCATCCAGATCTGACGGCTGAGAGGAAGTTGAGACAGGAGCAAGATGCGTATAGAAAAAATGGTAGTTCTCTTCCAAGATCGTTCAGTGCCGACGATCCAAGGGGTTTTGTCCCCTATCCTATGGTGTATGGTAATGGACTCCCTGTTAGTTCGGTTAACTGCTCTTGGCATTCCCTGTATCGGGTACGCTGATGACGGTGTTATTGTTGTCAGAGGCAAACATGGAAAAACTGTCTCTGATATCATGAATAATGCACTCCTAGAAGTAGCTAGGTGGTGTTTTAAATCAGGCTTATCTGTCAATCCATTCAAGATAAGTTATGTAGCCTTTACACGGAAAAGGCAACTTGATCTAGGTAATGTATACTACCTGGACCATAAATTGGAACTCACGGAGAAAGTCAAGTTTCTCGGGGTTTATTTTGACTCCAAACTAAATTGGGGTCTTCAACTTGAATACTGCACCAACAGGGCCAGAAAAATTTTCTGGTCTTGTAGAAATGCTATTGGTAGAACATGGGGACTGTCCCCCAAAATAGTCTACTGGATATACTCAATGATTATTAGTCCTATCATCACTTATGGCGCAATCGTCTGGTGGTCAAGGACTAGATTGAGCTCTGCAAGGTCTAATCTTAACAGACTACAAAGAATGGTCTGTGTAGCCCTGTCAGGCTGTCTCAGGACCACTCCTACAGCTGCTCTAGAGAGCTTACTTGGGCTTCTTCCATTGAACTTACGCATTGAAGTTGAAGCTCAGACAGGCGTAAAGCGTCTTATGTACCTTGGCCTATGGAAAGAGAATTCCAAACACTTGTCATGGGGACATCTTGTTTCACAAGTGAAGGATTTATCCTCTTTTATTATGCCTAGTGATTATATGTCACTAAGATATGCTTTTCACAAGCCCTTCAAGATCCATTTTCCTACTAGAGATGAATGGTTCAATTCTCCTCGGTGGCTTAAAGGCAAATGCCTGATATGGTACACTGATGGGTCAAAGATTGGTGCCAAATCAGGAGCAGGAATTTACTGCTCCAATGATGGTACCAAACTTCACTTTCCCCTGGGAAATTATGCCACCGTTTTTCAGGCTGAGGTCTATGCCATTATCTTGTGCTGCAAGTTATGCATAGACAAAGGATATCAAAATACGACTATCCGCATCTGTTCTGACAGTCAGGCTGCTCTCCTATCACTGTCAAGGTGTAAATTCACCTCTTTGTTAGTGTGGGAATGCTTCTCGGTCCTCTGTGACCTGTCCACTCATAACAAGGTATCCCTGCATTGGGTACCAGGACATATGGGTATCGGTGGAAATGAGCTAGCTGACGAAGCAGCACGGGCTGGCTCTAATGCAATTTTCTGGGGCCCTGAACCTGCGCTGGGAATTTCTCCCTCCTCATTTAGGGCAACCATATTCAAGCTCTACGGCAAGATCGCCCATGAGCAGTGGCGCGCTGCTGACGGTCAAAGACAAGCTAAGGAGCTGAATCGAGACTGTCCTAGTGTACGTCAAAAGGAGCTCTTAAAGCTTAACAGAAACAGTATAAGGAAGATCATTGGTCTTCTTACTGGTCACTGTATCCTCAGAAGACACCTAAACATTATGGGAATTGAATCAAATTCTCTTTGTCGGGGATGTCATCTAGAAGAAGAGACATCACGACACATACTCTGTGATTGTGAGGTCTATTCTGCTCAAAGATTTGAGCATTTAGGACAGCATATTGTCAATGCCTGGGAACTGCAAGATGTTCCTGTAAGGTGCTTGCTGAATTTTATTTCAGCCATAGGGCTTTCATGCTAATCATGATTTTAGGGTTTGGGTACAATAGACCTCTGGTCGATGTGCCCTGCTCGTCAGAGCTGCCCAACCTCTAAGTCTAAGTCTAATGAAGCTATGTTTCACTTTACAACCACTTAAGTTATACACTACCTACAATAATATGGAAGAGACATTTTCAGTTTTTAACATTTTTTAAATTTCTCAAGAAATGCTTAAAGGATTATTTTATAACTTTAGAGATGCTAGTTCATGCAATTTTTCATACATAGCATTAAGATTTAATACTTTCAAAGGTTTGGGAAACTGACAATAAATTACAAAAGAAAACGAGTATTTTTAAACACCCGGGGGATGATTCCCCACAATGTTGGTCTCATTTTTAATAAATCTTGTTTAATAGTACAAAATTAAATTTGGGGAAAACCCCTTATCGTAACCCCTTTGAGCAAACTTTTTCATTAGTTCACTGCAAAATTATGAAAAAATATTTTAAATTAAAAGATTACTCATATTTTATGCAGAATTTCTTTCAGTTAACTATTTTGTAATTAATTTTAAATTGCTTCAAAAATTAAGTTTAATTCTATTGAATATTTTAAAGTTTTAGCAAAAAAATGTCAGAAAAAAATTAGTTTTCTCATAATCATGTCAATATCTCTAAATATTTAAGCTAGGTTTACAAAATTTTATGTGCAGTTGTAACAATTTCAGAAATCGATACAAATTACAAGCTTATTGCTTGAATTTCAGGCATAGTGATCAAAAATACTTGCTTTCTTTTGTAATTTATGGTAGTGTTCCATAACTTCTGAAAACTTTAAATTTTATTGCTAAGTATGAAAAATTACATGAACTAAATACCTCCAAAGTTACATGATAATCCTTTAAGTATTTCTTGAGAAATTTTAAAAAAATGTCAAAAACTGAAAGTGTGTCTTCTATAGAGATAATGAAGAGATAATGAAGATAATGTGAGAGATGAAGATAATTCAATGTTATGTTCAATGGAACAATACTGGAAGTGGCTATGCTGAGCCAAATAAAAACAATATATAATCAAGATAACAAAAAAATGATATTAATCAGTAAATTTTGATGTAACAACAAAAGGATCACTTAAAGAAAAATTACTTGGTTTCTCAGGATTCTTTGACAAAGGCAAAAAAGTTAAACCCCATTGAGAACTGACCACACAGAGATTACACTTTATAGTTAGACTTATTTACTAATTACTTTGTAATCTACCTTTTAGTCTTGATTCTTCTAATCTTCGCTTTAGTTCTTTTAGTCTATTTATCTCCTCCTGTTGCTGACTTAATCGTCTCTGAAAAGCTTGTAAGTCTAAAGCAAGGTCTAATGATGTTCTTACAGTTGTATTCTTCAAGAAGTTTGAAGCCCTATGTTTTGAACAAGCTGCAGGAGGCTGAAATACAACAGAAGTAAATATAACAGAAGACTATTTTTTATAAATATATATAGCAAAAAAATTTTTAAATGTTATAACAATTGGCAGCTAATAAAGAGCTATTTCATTGTCATTTAAAATTCAAACTCCTTAGGCTATTTATTTAAAATAGGTTTAAAATTAAAGGTTTTGTTGGAATCCTCTTAAGAAAACAACAAGAAAAATATTTCACACATTAATTGAACAAAATTGTTCTGATGATAAAAATAGTATTGGATAGACACAAATGAAATAAAATCAGTCATTAGATAAAAAAAAATTGGGTCGCCAGTCATTAGATAAAAAAAAATTGGGTCGCATGTTAGGAAAAAAAGCCACAGTGGAAAAATGAAACAATTTATAATTTATTATTCATTAACATTTTACTGAAACTCTACTTAGAAAACTAGAATAGTAGAATTAGTCTACCTGACGATCACAAATTTCCGTTTGAAGGTCAAAAAATAAAGCTTCAATGAGGTTGTTAGAGGAGAAAAGAAGATGATAGAGTGCTACTGAAGTAAACTTCTAAAACACTTGGCAGTATTGGGTAAAATCTTAAAGCAATAATATGGGTTAAAAAAATTTCTTCTAATTGTCAATTTAAAATAGTTTTTCAGTTAAGAAGGGCAAGGGGCCAATAAAAATAAATAGGTAGGCCGAATGCAACCCATTGGTTGGACACCTCTGTCCTATAATGTTGTTCATCCTCATTTGCTTGAAGTTAACAGGAAATAACTACATTACTAAATGACTTACTTGACAAATTATAATAACCATATATTATTTAAGTTTATAGTTAATTTTCATTCATATAAGGTTATAAGTTTATTTAAAATTACAAACAAAAAATAATAATAAAAATGAATTTCTGGTCAATGACATGACCAGTTTCATCAATTTAATGTAATAAGATGCAGTTGAAAAAAAAGTTTTTTTGAAATAAAAATTTTATGTGAATAAATTCCAGGACAATTTCAGATGTATATATAAAATACTAAAGAAGTCATGGTTAGCAGAAATAAATGACTTTTTAAAATTTAATGGAATAAATTAGCAAGAAATGTAATGTTTTTTTAATACAGAGCTGATTTTATACAAATCATGATGTAAGTAAGCAGCCTAAATTGTGTTAGTACAAATCATGATGAGCATTTTGTAATTCGTGGAAAATTAAAATAAATTTGCTTCCATTCTTGTCATTGGTGATAAAAATTTATACTAGCTATTTAAAGATTTAAAATAACAAATATTTAAGTATTAAGGATGCAGTTTCACCAAAAATTGGAGAAAAAAACTCACCCATGTTAGAAAATCATTTTATAAATAAGAAAAACAGAATTCACATTTATTCACTTGACTTTTGAATATTGAGGCAATATATGAGAATTTTATCATGAAAACAATCTATCTTTACACAAAATTTAAAACATTCTTCAATACTTTTTAAATAACTAGAAAACTATATAGTATAACAGAATGTCCATTTTTATACTTTGCAATGTTTCTGGCATACTATTTTGGAGCTTTCTTTTAAATCTTTAGACCATTTGATGGTACAACTTCCTGGTTAAAAATTCTCAGAAATCTGAAGTAATTTAATTCTGGGTCTATTAATTTAAAAAGTAAAAAAAAATGAATATTTTCTTTTCCACACACCATTTTAATAACAAATAGGCTAGAGAGAAACCTTAACTAAATTGCTAAAAAAAATGACTTACGCAATTAAGCTAAATACAACTATCAAACATATTCACACCTTCAATGACCAATTACTTAGCTGTATCATGGCTAGCAATTATTTTGATATCTCCAGGATAAAATCTGCAATTGCTCTCATTTGTCTAAACTTTCTAATGAAGAATTTATATAATTCTTTAAATATTAACTAAAAAGAATACAAATGCAACAAACCTTTTTCCACCTCAAACTTCTGCGTTCTAGAGAATTCCTTTGGAAAGGACCACCTCTACGATACAAAGGCATTGAACTATCACTATCACTTCGATTCAACTGCAATGAAAGGTTTTCATTACTGCAAAAGGTAGCTAAATCATAATAATTTTACATCAAAACAAGCTTGATTCAGGGAACAGAGTGGTCAAAAAGCAAAAGGGAGGATATCCAAAAATATGTCCAAAAAGAGAAAAAAGACGGAAAAAAAAGACAATATAACATATACAAAGTCGACAAGAATAGGGGTATTCTGTAGCATACTTAAGTAGTATACATAGTAGTCTAGTATTACTTAAATTTCAGATATAAAAAATACCATATGAAGTGCAAATAAAATAAACTTGTTTAATAGGTGTCTAAGACTAGAATAAAAAATAATTATTATTTTTAATAAACATTTCTTTCATTGTCATTTAAATCATTCTTTTACTTTGTTTTTTTTAGAAGGGGGTGTGTCTTTAAATTTTCATTAAAAAAATTTCCAAAAACAAAAATTTCTGTACCATTAAAAAATCAGTTGCTTTAATATTTTTTTTATTTCACCTATTATTTTTCAATAAAATACAGTAGAGGACCAATTATGAGGGATGCTCAGGACTATTACTATCCTGGATGTCTGAATTTCTTAGTTTTCTGCATCGGCAAAAAAACTTTATCATCCCCAAACTACAATGAAAAAGAGTAACCCATTTTAAAATAAGAAAAAAAAAGTCCTAAATAAAAAAAAATTGAAGAAAAATAACATTTACACAAATGAAAACATTTACAAGTTTAAATCAGAAAAAACAAGGTTAACCCTTTTGCGACGCAAAGCGCGCTTACCGCTGAGGCCGGCAGTCTCTCTAGCGTGTGTCTCCCCAGGGCCGGAGGGTTTTTTGATGTTAAGCCTAATTCCATGAAATTGCCAAAATATCAGCGCATTGTTTAATATTGTTCTGTAGAGTATTTAAGTGACATATGCTTTATATATATTTCTATGGATACTTTATTTACTTAAGTTATTTCTTGTTTAAATGTAATATAAATATTAATAAGTTTAAATATTTTGCATAATTTCCTCTATTTCCAGCTCAGTTAAAAATTTTCGACGCTTCGACATTCTAACGGTAAAAAGAAAAAAAATTCAAGCCTACAAGATCTAATTATCCACTAAAAACTAATCCGAAAATCGAAAGTAGCGAGAGAAAAAAAAAACTCCCTTACTTACTGTAAATAAATATCACGTGCTAATTTAAAGAGCCCTCATAAAACATTCCCCCCCTCCACTCCTTCCCCTAAAAACCACGTGAATGTACTTTCATCTTGAGTAGAAGGTCAAATCTACATGTATCTGAAACCATATGGACATACAATGCCATCTTTTGGAAGAAATTTCATTTTTTAAAACGTTCCTAAACGCTGGCACAAATAAGTGACGGTCGGGGGTGAACGAGAAAACTCTCTGACACGCGGGTGTGTCGGCCGGGAAGTGAGCGCGTTTCTTGCTGTCACATATATGTGACAGTCGGCTCGACAGGGTTAAAAAATACAAAATTAAGTTATTTATTTTTTTCAAGATTTATTGAAATTACCAAATTAACTAACATAAACAAAACCAATGATTTAAAAAAAAAAAACGCAATTTATTTCATAGCACTAACATAAATATTAAAATCCTAGACAAGGCAGGATATTATAAGATCAACTGAATTTAAAATTTTTAAAAAAATCTTAAAATTCATGAAAATAAAGAATTAATTTATTATAAACAGTGAAAAATTAACATATAAAAAAATGACATATGAAAAATTGTCATTAGATAACATAACAGCGACAGATGTTAATAAAAATTTGCCTAAAATTAAAACTACTAACACTGCATTTTGAAAACGATATTTATTTATGAGAGAGGAAATCCTTTTCCATCAGGAAAATGAAAAATAATCATGATATCCATAAAATATCCTGCAATTTCTATTAAACTTTCTTTTGCTGAGCAAGTTCACAAACTGTTGAGGCATAAGGTTCAGTTAACGTTATTCTTAACAGTTGATACTGAATTAAATGTTGTTCACAGTCAAGTGATCGTCGCTCAGATAATCGCTGTGTTTTTACTTTGCTTTTCTTTCGTACAGATTACATTTTACCAGTTTTATTAAAAAAATTCGAAACAACCCCCAGCTTCTTTTTAACTGAATCAATAGTTAAGAGTTTTATTTCAACGATTTGGATAAATTTTTCACTGAATCATTGGAAGAGAAAAACTTTTTTTCTTCATTTTCTCTTCAGCAATTTGATTAGGAAAAATTTTTCATTTTAACTTAATTGTTTATGATTGCTCTTTCTTCACAAGTTTGCCATTAGGATATTTTGCACTTCAACTAAAGAAACATTACGTTAGAACTACTGTTTCCTTTTTTTTTCATACTTCATGATTTGGATGTATTTTGCACTTTAACTGAATTATATTAAATATGTGTTTTTTTCCCCTCTCCATCCTCAAACTTTCACAATACGGCAATTAATTGATATGATTAATACTATATTTTAAGAACACAATAAAACACATATTTGAGTTCAAAAAAGGAAGAAAAATTTTAATGAACAGATTTCCAAAATGAGGAAAATTTGACTTTTGTTGCGGTAAAGCGTAAAATGAGGTAAAAATTGTGGAAAAATAGGCAGCTATTCGAAACTGAAACTAAATGGTGGAAAAGGAAGAAATTTTTACATAAAAAATATATAAAAACAGAGCTACAGCTGAAAGAATCTCCTCCCTGTTTATAAATTCATAGAACTTTGGCATAACTAACATTTTATACAGAAAAACAAAACAGCACTGCAAAATTTATTATAGGTACTCAAAATTGTGGATATATTAGCATTAATTGATTTTATTTTTGCGGCAACATACATATATTGTTTGATAGTTACACACGATAAGATTATCATTTAGTTTTTTTTTTTTTTAAAACTTAAATACGTCACCCAACAAATATTAGAAGTATTCTATTAGAAGTACAACAAATTTATTTTTGCCTTGCAGACAAGGAAAAAAAATGCAGATAAATTAACAATAGAAGAAATTTTTCACCTCTGTAATAACAGCTTGTCTTTAAAATTAAGAATAAAGCTAAGCAATGTGCATAAAGCTTAAATAATAGCACTAAAACAGGCATACTACTGCTTCGGCTCTATAAACATAAGCCTTCCTCAGTGTCGAAACACAGAATAAATTTTTTTTGTCTTGACACTGACTAAGGTTCCTGTTTATAGAATCGATATTATAGTAAATCTGCTTCCGTGCCATTGCGTGTGCTTTATTCTTTATACTGCTCACATTCATATATAGCATAAAATATATCCTATTTTCATTTTAATAAGTGAAACTTATATTCTCTAGTTAGTTTTAGTTAATTAATTTGAAGTACTAATACATATACTTTACCACCTGCTTGGTAGATGAATTTTAGAATTTTCCCCTGCTGGTGCAAATCAATAGGGATTCTTGCTACTGGGGTCCCCCATATTTTTTGGTACTTTTGCACATGTAACAAAATTTTTTAAAAAATTATACAATCAATCTTACCCTACATATGTATTGATGTTTATTCACAGCTGCACTAGGAGAAAATGTTTGTGATCTTTTGATAGCAGCACTTTTTGCAGCATCTTCTGATCTTTTCTTTAAGGCCTTTTCAGGAAGAAACACACATTCAGTGTTGGTTTCTTTGTCACAAAGCTGAATTTTTGCAGCATCTATACTCGTTTGTGTCAATCTCTCAGCTTCACAGTCCATGCAGGCCTGCTAAAAATTTTAAAAAAAGGTTAAAATTTCAAATTAACTTAAGCATAAAACAACCATTTTGATGAAAACAATTTAATATAATTAACTCAAATATATTTAAAATCCAATACACAATCTTTAACTAAATAAAAGCAGAACTAAGCGCAAGAAAGGCAGTCGCCTTGGCTTAAGCTCTGCACAGTATTTTGCAAAACTTTGAATTCTTTTTTCTTTCAATCTTGAAAGCTTTTTTTCCTCCACACTTCGTTTTTTTTTTTTAAAGCACTGTTTGAAGTTCATTTTAACATTAAATAACATACATATTATTTAGTTTCCAGTCACACTTACTTTATCTTACCTTTAGTGAAGTGTTATTCTAAATTATCTAAAATTGCATAATGAATTAATACATATCATATGCAAAATAATATAGGATATTATTTTATATTTAAAAAAAGATCACCTAATTTTAAGAACAACTGATGTAGAAAATTTGATGTAAATTCTTTGTTAAATTATTACTGAATGAATTATTAATTGCATTTTTATTTCTTTAACATAAATATTCATCATTTATGCACTGTATCTTTACATGAGATTTGTATAATTATTTGTATTTTAGTAAATTGATACTTGTAGTTAGGAAAAATAGACCTAAAAATTTGGATGACCTGCGTCTAAGAACCCATTACTTTCAAAGTCTAACGGAATCACTATGAAATAGGTTTTCTAGTTAGTCAATAAAAACATGTGCAAGACAAAGATAAACATGGAAATGAAAATAGCAGTTTAATTTCACAATTTTATTCTGTTCAATACTGAAAAATTATGCATTGATTTGCTGGGGCAACCATATTTTTAGTTTATGATTAAGGAATTAATTTAATGAATAAAAGATTAAAGAGTTTAACATTTCTCAAATTAATGATCAATTGCGCTTTTACTTAAAGTGAGGAGCAGTTGAAAAATATTTACCAAATTCTGTAGAACAATTCCAACTTCATTGATATCTATATCACCCTCATCATCATCTTCACCATCACTGTCAACATCATCATCAGGTACCATACCACATTTAACCATGTCAGGACCTAAAAAAAAAATATCTATAAGGCATCTTGATGCAATTTCTAATTTTAAAAAAATTTAAAAGATTAAAAATTTTGCAGAAAAATTAAAAAATTCTAAGAAAATATAACCTTTTGAAGCAATAAGTACCTTTATTACAATCTTCTCACATTTCCAGCAGATTGAAGAAGAAAATAAAAGTATAGTATATTTTTGAGTTTGACAGTCAAAAAAGATCACAAAATTTTTTTTTAAGGAATATCAACCAAGACTGATGAAAACATATCAGTTAAATTAGTAAAGAGTTTTACCGAACACTTAACCTCATGCAAACAGTACAACTCTACTATCTGAGGATTCTACAAATGAAACAAAAACTATAGTTTTTATGATAACTTTTTAAGATGACTGATACAGATACAACTCCATAAATATTGTGTGGAAAGAAGAGCAAAGGCATTCAGTTCTAAGGAGAATTTAATCATGACACCATTGTTGCAGAACGTTACAGAGCTCAGGTAGAAAGATTTTTCATTTGGCAAACAAAAAAATTTTGCACCCTCTTCAGTAGAGTTATTTTAAGAAAAATCTTGCGACTTTCAACCTTGATCATTTACTCACTGTTTTGTTTCATTATAAGCATAGTGCGTGATAGTTTAATTTTTTCAAAGCCTTTTTATCCATGCGTGTGATTTCCTATATATAAAAAGTAATTTTGAAATCACAACAGTTCACTCTATAATTATTATTCCTAATAAATAAATAAATTAAAAAAACATATTTAACATTAATAAAATTTGACTGGGTTTAGGAATTTTGTTGTAAACTCAGATTTGTAACTGAAGAATTATTAAATCAATTCGGTGTATTTGCCCTCCCCTTTTTTAATTTGGATGAAGTAAATTGATTTAATATATTTAATACGATATTACACACATTGAAATTCTAAATATCACATTTGACTCTTCACTTACATCACTAACCCTGATTCCATTGTAGATCCATGTGCTATTGTAATTAATTTTTTTACCAATTATTCTAAGAATTTTCAATTGGCTTTATATAATCTAAGTGTCTTTGACGTTTAAAATGCTGATATTATCACAACATATCTCACATATCCAAGTCATTACTCTAGGGCATGCTCAATTTCTGCCGATATCATAACTCCATGTTGAATTACTTTTGTTTTTTGTCAGTTTTTACTACTAATTTTCAATTTAAAAAAAAATTTCCAGATGTTTTTTCATATAATTTTAAAACATATGAAATTCAAATTTCACACTTGATTATTCACTTTGAATAAAATAATTCCACTGTTTCCTTTTTTCAATTTTTAGCAAAATACAATTGGGGTTTTTTTTTCACTTCAAAAATATAATCCAAATTATAAGAAAACAGTCTTTTATAAGTTTATGGGAAAAAAATATTAATTTACAATAATTTTATTACATTAATGCATATTTCATTTGTTACTTTTAAGCCAATAAGTCTTACGTTTTTTTTTTTTTTTTTTTTTTGAAGAAAAAATTAGGTGCTTCTTTTTACTTTTAGAATTTATTCTTAAGTCAATCCATCTTTATATTATTTATTTTTAAAAAATAAGTAACATTATTGATGTTATAAAGGCAATAATTTTATAATTAACCTTTTTAATTTATTTCAGATTGATTTAAGATTTTTGATAAGGTTTTGATTCAAAGAAACAATATTAAAGCGGATGTTACATCGCTATGTCTAATAGACAATAAAGAACAAAAATATCATACAATGCTGTCCTACTCAAAATATAAGCTAGGGATTTGCTGCATAACCGTTCAATTAATATTATTTTTATACATTATCTCAGTGTTCTCCATAAACCTCCTCGCTATCCTTCATTGCCATTCATATTGCTTTTAATTGAATTTTTTTACTTCAAAACTTTTTTGCTTTCATAGTTGATTAAAAAATGCCAACTAAGACCAGAGTCTGTAATCTAACCAAGATGACAAAAGCAATAACTTAGGCTTAATTAAGCAATAATTAGGCATTTCTCATCCCACTATATACAAAATAATAATTAAAATTTGATTTCACCTTAGTCATTATTTTCTTTGTTGTAAACCTATTCTTTAACAATGTGCCAATGATATAGGAATATTAATTAGTTACTTTATGGATCGGTAAATAAATTCATTTAAATAATTTTAAAATATTAATCACTAGAAAGCTTCATCACCAACTTTAGAAACTTATGACTTTAATATGAAAAATTCTTAAAGAAGATCAAATTGTACGTTAGATAAGTTTTTTTTTTACCTTGATTCCGTGTCAGAGTTGATGTCTGAGACGATATTATGGTAGATTCATCACTACTCTCTTCTTTAAACATAAATGTTTTTGTTTGAAGATGGTCAGGTACCTCAAAATTCACATCTGTTTCTTTGTGCTAGATAAAATAAACAAAAAATTATGCAAACATATTTTCTTATAATAAATCTACATTGTGATAATTTATGTCCCACCTCTCTTTTCCAGGGTTAGCCCCCTGTAAAAACTTTTTTCTGGAGGTTTTTTTTTTTTTTAATATTTTTAATTGTAGGAGGGAAATGTGAGAACTTCTACCATAATGATTTCCACAGTCATGCATTTTAAAAGGGGTTGGGAAGTTTTTCCCTGGCAAGGAAAAAATGAGGGTGGAAGAAATAATATTCTTCGATGTTAAAAAAACTGATAAACTAATAAATTTAGGATAGTACTAAATTAGAAATAAAAATTTTAAAAGTTTTAGAAAAAGTCAAGGTCTTTTGATGAAAAACCAAGGTAGGTTGGGAATTTTCAAAAAAAGCTTAAGTTTTTTCAAACTCTACAAATCAATAACTTAACATACTATCCACTCTTATGTCGATAACAAATTCCATAAAAAGTTACCAATAAATATAAAAAATTGAACACTGTATGTTGTCTTTTCAGAAAATGTAGAGCAGGGGTTTCCAACTTACATAAGGCCGGGGGGCCATAATTAAAGGCAGAAATCAAATGGCGGGCCACAACTTTATCTTAATTTTATGTAGGACTCTTTTATCTTTGAAGGAACATTAAATATTAATGGCAGATTTTTACCAAGTTGTACAAAACAAAAGTTTTGATTTACAAATTAAAATAAGTTGAACTTTAAAAAATATTTAATTGTTATTAATAATATTTTTGAAAATATTAAATAAATAATAAAATTTCGGGCTACAGTAACTTTAATGTGCACCTATGTATTAAACAATTAATGTGTGACAGATATCTAATTGTTAAGATATAAAACTTTAGAAAGGTTGGTAATAAAACTTACATAGTAGCACACAAAATATTCAATGAGAAAATTGAGATTTGTTTGCTGCAACTACCAGAGAATAGATAGTTACATTTTAAATTAAAAATTTAAAAATGTTTGTGTAAATATTTTCGGCCAAAATTAGTGGTTTCAAAAAGTTAAATCGGAAAATTTCTTCGAGAAAATTTCTGATATGCACATGCTAAATTATATTCACAAATTACAAAAAAATAAAATAAAAAAGAGCAACATACACGATTATTTTTGTATTTGAATAAATATTTTCTTTGATGCAAAGCCTAAGAAATACATTTTTTTGCACCGTTGGTATGTTAAATTTCACAGAAACGAAGAAATTAGGTTCTTATTAATGAGAAAAGGGGAGCTTTTACCATATAGTTGTTTTGCGAAAATTAACGGCCAAAAAAGGACAACTAATATAATTTGGCTCGTGGGCTGCCAGTTGGAAACCCCTGATGTAGAGTATCTAAAAGACACAGTAAACATCCAATTAACCGAAGCCTGATTATCAAGTCTTAAAATTGTACAATAACAAAATATTGAAATAAATGATACTACTAAAATTTTTTCATGGGAAGTGTTTCTGTTTCAAATACAAGCAAACTTTTTGTCCCTTTTGGGGTATGTCTATAGCAAGATCCTGTTTTGGAACCCTTAGCTCAAAAAGATTTATATATATACTCATTGAAGGAGGAAAGTGTCGAAAAGACATCACTCTAAATAAAAAAAGAAATTTCTCCAAAACAAGTGTAACATCACGGAATTGTATCCACTAAATCAGTTTATTTATGCGTGCCTTTCACAAAATTCTATAAATAATCAGAAGTTTTAAACATTACATTCCTTACACAAACAGATAGTTTTTGACGATATAAAAAAATCATGCAACCAAAATTATTACAACAGTTCAAATAAATTCCTTAAAAATGTAACATTATTCAAAAGTACAATTTGTTTCTCCTTAAATAACTGTTCTTAAATTGAATAAAAATTTATTTTATCACATCAAACAACTTTTTTAAAACAGAGAACTAGATGTAGAATTTAATCAACAGGGGACAGAAGTGGTTCTACCAGTGGTTCTCAATCATTTTTAGGCTACGTAACCTTATACAATCAAAAAATTTTTGACGGAACCCCTACTATATAATTAAGGTACATAAAGACAATTGTGAACGTAATAACTTATAAAAGAGTACTTTATTTTGAAAATATTTAATGAGATGTAAGGCCTATTTTCATCATTTTATCATTAATGATTTCAAATTGGGTTTTATATCCTACAGTTGAATTCACAATGCTGGAGTTGAATCTAGTTTTATTATGAATTTGACTTTGATGTATAAACGTAAGCTAACAATGAATTAAATAAGCCGAATTGTGGTTTACGTTAAAATGAAAACTAAAGAGAACTGCTATAAAGGTTGAAAATTGCTTGAAAGAAAATATATTTCTTCATTAAAAAAAAATCTAATTATTTTATTTTAGTTTGAAAAGCACAATGGGAAGTACTAATGCAATAATTTACAATTGCATGTTAATTTTTATAGTTAATTTACTGCTTTATTATTTGAAAAGTAATGCATTATTTCCTTAAGAAAAATTCCTTTTACTGGCAATTTAATTAAAGTAATATAGTAAAGGCATCCAAAATATTTAGCAAATGAATTATTAATTGCTTCTAAATATAATTATAGGTTTCAAAAATGTTTTAAAAAAAAATTTTTTAAACTTAGGGTTCCGCACGGAACACCATTTGGGAACCACTGCTTTATACTACATTAAATTTTAATATTACAGACAGAGGTTAAAAATATCAAATTGTGTTTTAACAATGTCTGACAACGAATCCTAGTGGGATGATAAAACAGAGATATAAGCAAGTAAAGAACTAGTAAGTGATTTACGCTTCATTAGAATTACCTTGAGGGGTTTTTCATGCTGTAAAGGATCTGGTTGCATAAACCTAAAACTTAGAACATTGTACCACTTAACAATTGTGTTTTCAGGACAAAAATCTGCTAAGCTCACTTGTGAACTACCCTGCAAAAATAAAAATTATCAGTTAGTAAAATGAATTTTAATAAAATAATGAACACATTTTAAAGATGATAATTAACAGCAGAAGTGTGACATGAAAGTTTAACTAGCTTTTAAAAATTAACTATTAATAAAACAATCACATATTTCCTAACTTTCTGCATTATCAGAGATGCAATAAAAAATTATTGTTTATATTGTATGATTTATTCATTAAGTTCAAGCTTCATTAGTTTATAAACTCAATATTTGTTCTGGAAAACTTTTTTTTTCTTTTTTTAAATAACTATCAAACTTTATTTTTACATCTAGATTTTATTTATAAAAAATTTGAGGTTTTGAAAGTTACCAAAGAGAGTTAAAGAAAAAAAACTTTCATAAACAGAATGCTATTTTACAAATTTCTGTTAAGTAACTGAAACTAAAAGACTTAATTTGTAATTTGCACCAGCAATGTACAATGATAAATGGTATAAGTCATGCATAAAAATGATAAATGTTAAACATTAACCAACATTTAAACAAGATGTTACGCTTTTGCAATAATTTGAGGGAAAAAATAGGCCTTTAAATTAAGATTTTATGTGAAAAAAAGCACTAAAACAGAAAATTAAAGTACTCTCTCAATAGCCTTAATTCAATGGATTCCTTAAACAGAGGATCAATGTGAGTAAAGAAAGCCATCTAGTAAAAGAATAATGCTTCTTTCCTAAAATTATTTTTTTCTTTTAGATCTCTTATCTGGGAATTAATAAATGACAATAAGAAAAATATGAATATCAATGAAATACAGACAATTTTCTTGCTGCTAGGTACAGCAATGACATAGACAACTTCCAATTATATTAGGGGGAAAAAATTATGTAAATTTCTTTTTGTCTAAGCATTATTGTACTCTCATAATTTGCACTAGAACCTATGCATTTATCCCAACACAAACCTTTCTTCTCAAGTTATCAACAAAATATGTTATTAAAGTTGCACGCAACTAATTTATCTTTGCAATCTTTGTCTCATCAATGGTTAACAAAACGACAAACTTTCACTGCCCATTCTGATCTTAGTGTTAACCTTTTTTACAAATTATAACAAAACATTTATTTTAGCAGCAGCTTCCACAAGAATTTTTATAGGTGGTGACTTAGTCAATTATTTAAGCACAAAACTCAATAAACCCTATCAACTGATATATCAGATTTTACAAGGTGTGAAAATTCAGTAGGACAAAAAACTTCAGATTTCTTTCTTCACAAAAGCAATTTTTGTCAATGGCAACAATCTCTTAGGACATTTGATAATCCGTAAATTAGCTTTTAATGTGAGGCTAAATTATTATATGACGTAAAAAAAAGCTTGTGAATATTAAATAAAAAGTTAAATATTTAATAGAATAGCTTAATCACACCCACATCATAAATAATAAAATCTAATAATGTGCAAGAGGCATCATAAACAACCAATATCTCATTTAATTTTACAGTTGTTGTTTATTCATAGAACTCTCACTTTAACACTGTTAACTAATTGTTTAGGTGCATAAGAAATTCATTAAATTTTAGAACTATTGAGTGATTTTTGAGTTTTACTTAGATAGAAAAATGAAATAATTATTACATGAAAAATATTTCAAATATTTGTTTATTTTTACATTCTGTTAATTCTTTTCAGAAAGACAGTAAACTACTCAATTTCTGCTTTGAATTTGCAACATTAACATTGCAGCTTTACTCAATTTTAGTAGTAAAAGAGCTCAGTAAAAGCCTTAACAAATGAATAAATGAGTAAGAATTCATACCAAACACTCTTCCTCTGTACTATTATGAATAGACCAAATATTAACTTGAAGAGTTTTCATGCATAATTTAGAAACTGGAATATTGAAACGAAATGTTTCTCCAATTGTAGGCTTATTTAAATTCTCAAATGAGCCTGTGGTGTAAGTATTCAATTCTTCACTGGATATTGGTAAAAGAGCTACTTTAATGCACCTAAATTAAAATATAAAAAAACAATTATTAATACTAAGCATCATAAATAAAACTAAGAAAAATATTCACATAGTAAAATTGAAATAAAAGATAACAGTGATAAAAAATTTTATTAATCACTATTTTTATTAATCACTATTTTTAATAATCCTTAACTGACCATTTATGCAAAAATAAATGTTAACTATTCTTAATAACATATATTCAGATAAATTTATTGAACCTGATAAAAAGGCAAATTTGGTTGATATTTATGAAGAAAAAAAATTTAACTTACTGAAAATAAATTATTTGGTCTTAATAATTTGAATATTCAGTTAGCAAATGGTTATGTACTTTAAACAAAATTTTATCTGGTGCACCACAATTGTCTCTCCATATTAAAAAAGAGTCACTCATGCCTAGTGTACTTCCATCATAATTCGAACAATAAGAAACAGTATAAAATTTTGAAAATATCTAGAGACATGTTTGAAGAACATTAGAATTACAAAATGTTATTGATGCCAGTCATTAATATTTTAGTTACTTTGTGTCAATTGTTTTTTTTTTTTCGCTGCTTAATTCAGTTTAGCAAAAAATTTAAGCAGGGGAATTGTGATTCTCTACTGCCACATACCATATGATTCAAAATGTGTTACAGTAGTTAAACAGTTTATATCAAGAGTTTTCCTGATTTTTAAATGGAAAGGAAAACTAATCAGAGTAAAATTATAATTTCTTTTCAGTTACACACTTTTAAAACTGAAGAAAAAACTTAAGACCTCTATTTGAAATTTTGCATCAGATACGAAGTAAATAAATTGAAATGTTTTGATGGTTTTTTTTACAATCAAGGAAGGTTAATAAAAGGCATGTATTTTTACACAACCAAAGGCACATTTTTGCCTTCCTTTCATTAAAAAAAAAAAGATTTTGATTACTTTAGTTTGGGGACTTGAAATTAATATCAAAAATTCTTAGATTGGCTTTCTTTCTTTACCCCCTTGCCTAACTGATGACACATATGTGTGTTTTCAAACTAGTCTTCCCTTCTTCAATCTTATATTCATTTGCAAAGAATTGAGTCCTCTAGTTCACAAATTAGAAAATTTCATTTTTTTTAAAAGTTAATTCTATAAAAGTAGATTTTTTGGAAATTATAATCAATAAAATTAGAGTGTATATCATTTTGTCATTTATTCATTGTTCAATTATATTTTTATTAGTTTATAATTAAAATTATAAACAAATTGTAAAATTAATTTGTATGGTATTATTTTTAAAAAAAATTGTTTGCAATATATGTGAATTCATCAGACAGAATTGCTGGGGAAAAGGCGTAAATGGAGAGCATAGTTCAGAGCACATAGTGATAAAATAAGAACTGAGCAAGCATTTCTAGAGATTGGAAAGCAGGACGTGGTGCCCCCTAGTTGAATTTAGAATAAATATAACATTAGCTTAGAACTTAGCATTAACTTAGAATAAATGCAATTCTAAAGAAATACATACACTTTGCAATGATCAGGTACAGATAAGGCAGATAAATTACGAGCTCTCTCGATACCAACATGCAACAAAGAATCCTCAAAGGAATACCTGAAAAATTGAGGAACAGCTTTTTAACATAAAAATATAGACAAAATAACAGAATATACCAGCGTCCAATTGACAACTATTTTAAAAATGCCTAAAATTTTAATGAATTAATGAAAGCTTACTTTACCTAAGAATATAGAAAATATATATATAGTTCTAAATAGATTTTTTACTTTTTATAAATGTTTAGTCAAAGTCAAAGAAAAAATCAAAATCTAAACAAATATTTTAACATGACACCTGTTTTCTAAAGCTGCCCATAGTAAATCAGAATTCTTTTTTCGCTAAATCACGCTAATTTTGATATTATAGGTCACTTTTAACTAATAATGTAAAACTAAACAAAAAATGCAAAAAAGTTCAAAATTTATTCATTGAAACAAAAATATCAAGAGCAATTTAAAGCAACTAGGAATATTTTTTTGAAAAATAATTATAAATCATTTTTCTTTTCCTTTTGGTATTACACAAAATTTAAAAACTTGATTCCTTGTTAGTAAAACATCACTCAACTGGCTTTATTTCTAATAGTGAAGTTTTCTAAATTCAATTTTCCTAATAGACATACTTAATTTTCTTAAGAAACATTACTGTACAGATATTTCTATGGGACATTTACCTATTTCTATGCGACACTAAATTTCAAAACGCCTGGTAACCTTCCATGAATAAACCATTATATACCCCTTCCCTAAGGAAAACATAATCTTACCAGTATTGAACAGTTATTTACATCCAAGAAAAATCCGTTAAATCCCTTCAAGGCACACATTTCATTTTAACAAATTAATTTTTGTTCTGTTTTCTTTAAACATGATTTTTTTATGGACAAAATAATGTATGGATTTTTATGTGAAATAAAGAAGGCAAGAAATGGTATAACTAACTTTTTTATGGCTCTTGACTAATTATAGATTGTATTTGCATTTGATTGTATACAGGGACCACATTAAGCGGTTTGCCACCTTACCAAGAAATCTTCGCCAACTAGCAAAGGTTTCAAAATTTGAATTGTAGAACTTAATTCTCACTTTAAATTTTAGATTGTATAGAAAATTTTGCCGGATTATAAATTTCGATTGGCGGACTTCACCGAATCTTTGGTCTTGAAATACACGGAATTCCGTGGAAAAATTACAGGCCTTGCTCCTAGTTTCTAGACCTGGAGAAATAATATGAAAAACATGGAATTCGGGGGTACACCAGGAATACAATCACCACTAAATGCAGTATTTGAATCTTATTTAGCTATATTGATTAATCTAAAACAGTTACAGCAACAGAATTATCAAAAAGCATGTTTTTCCAACTAGACACTTCACTTTAGTGGACAATTTTTATGGTCTTAGGCATGTCTGTTTCATCAAGGTTTCACTGATTTTCATTCTAAAATGTTTAGAGTCTTCTTTTTTTTTCCTTTCAATATATTTTAGATTGAAAAGTAACCACAAAACATCTATCTTAGGGGTGCACAACCTTTTTGAGTGAAGGGCCACTTGCACAGCAGGTTGGGTAACGAAGGGCCGCACATGTATTTAGACACGTTAATGACAAATGTAGTAATGCTTATTTAAACATTAGCGTTCCATTTTTTTTATCAATAAACTTAGTAATATCAATAACTTAGTAGTGTTCCATTATTAGAATTCATTCAAAAATAAAAAAACTTATGTAAATCATAATTATAGTAGTATACACTGCAAGTATTGTATACTACTATAATTATGAT